ATTGTTAGCAAGAAAAAAATCACAAGCATTTAACATTAGACTAACAAAAACTAAGAAAGCAGATCTTATTTCTTATTGATATAATTTGTATTTAGATATTTATTAATGAACATTCATGAACATGTTCATACACAATGTGAAGATTCAATATTGAACCTCACCAAAAGGAAGCTAGACTCCCATCTGCTCATTGTAGGCTCTCCTTTTCTATATTAATATTTTCCAAACCCCCTACCTGATAACTAACATTTTTATGCATTTTAAAAAAAATGCAATTTAGATCTAAGGTTTTAAAATAAACGACAGGCACCTTTTGTAAAACATCTATGATGTCACACAAATAAAGAGAAAGAAAATATTTAGTGGCTATTTTTAAGCTAACCAACAGGGACACTTTAGTTTAGGTTATCTTTCAGAAAACCCATACTTCAGAAACTCACATTACAAGTTTCATCATTCAACATACCTAGATTCTTTATATGACTAGAATTGTTTTTGATATTTTTAATATTCTAATTAACTCAGAAAACTTACCGAGACAGTAACTGGGTATAAGTGTAGGCAGCCATGCCACATTAGAAAAAGCCGAAACATGGAGAGAATTAATTCGTGCAAGTTCAGAAACTCCTCCAGAAAAGGATAATGGCCCAACTGGGTCAACTCGCCAAAGAATAAGCTCGCTATAAACTGCATTGGGATCCTGGGATGTTACACTTGTAGTATCTCTATTCTGAGATCTTAAAGACGACTCTCCAGTAGTTGAAGCGTCATTCTGTTTTGTACTGTCATCATCTGGTGAACTTAAAGCATTATGATGAGAAGTTGTCAGCAGCAAAGGTAACACTGAATGACAAGCCAGATCATTAAGATGAAAACGGTGACCACAATATCGAGATTTATGTGAAATACTGAGCACAGTCGAAAAAGCAGACTCCTCTGCAAAACTAACTAGCCACTGATTTAAAGACCCATCTGCATGTTTTGATATCATCATAACATTGGGGGTGAAAATACTTAATTTTAAACTGTTAGTTGATTTACTGTGGCCAGCACAGATAAGCATAGATGATGAACGTGTCAGGCCAATGGGCTTCTGTTTGCCTTGTTGAATAGCGAGGTCAACATTCTTGGTGCAGGCATACATCACTATACTTCTGCAAAGAGAATTCGCATCACCAGTTGGAAATGCTACTGGAATTCTTGAAACAAAAGACACCTAGTGTTAAAGGGGGAAAATAATATGTATTAGAATAAAGAACATTAATGCACTTTTAATTGGCTAATAAATATATATTTGAATCCAGAAAAGTCTTAGTACCTGCACCTGACGAAACATACCAGGCTGATATTCATCTAGCCAGTCCACATGCCATACCAGTAAGGAACCATCCATGGGATGAATACTGAACAACATGTCTGCATTTTTGCTCCACTCAGACAATAGTATTTCAATCTCATGATCAATAACAGCAGAAGATAAAGGCACCAAGCCAGAGTTTGGAATATTTTTCTCACTACCCTGTTCTTTCTTTTCTTGATTTCCTTTTTGATCTTCTCCATTATCATCAGCTTCTGGCAGAAGGAAACAAATATGAAGTAAAGAAATCCATGTATGAAAGCTACATTTTGAAGTTAAAATCTCAGAGGCAACACTGCTAGGTTATTCAACACTTAAGTGTCTTCTAAACTATTCTTACAATCTTGGATTTAAACAAATTGAAAGGGTAATGATTTAATCTCTAAATTAAATCAATGCTACATAACTGAATACATTCCTGTATCTGGACAGAGAAGTATAGCAAGTTATATTATGTATGTGACGTTATTTTACAATACCTTCTTAAATTCCTACGAAAAAAAGGTAAAATTAAGCATCAATTGCTAATTATACTAAATAGAATTAAATTGATTGTAACCCAGCGATAAAATTTAACAATCAAGTTGTATTAGCTTATTCATGTAAGTACAGAAATGAAATTTTTTTTAAAACCCAGAATCTGAAAGTTCAGAGGAGTTCATGAATAAATGCATCTAATTCCTTCCAAATGACTTCATACATCACTAGCCATTTAAATCTACACTTTCAGAAACACCTACATGAACTCGATCTTCACAGATGGATTCAGTCACAAGAGTCAGTGCTGACCACTTCACACATTAGACCACATTTCACTTATCACAGCCATATTTGTAGCCAGCAGGTGTTTATGGCAGAAAACCATACACATTTGCCATTAGATGACAGTAACTGGCAGTATCAGCAGAAAGCACAAAGCCTGAACTACTCTCTCCCCACTACAGATGATCCCTTCAAAACAGTGTGATAGAGCAGCACACTCAACACTCTAGCTCCTCAATTCCTTGACAGTAAAACAAAAATAGCCATCCACTCGGAGAGATACAAGGGTACCCCCTAAGTGCATTTTAAGAAAGGTGTGGTTATCATGCCATAAATTATATCTTTTAATGTGTAATGGCCTTAAAGAACCCAAAGCCACTACACCACCAGCTATTATCCCCAGAACAATTGGGGGTGGGAAGGAAAAATCAGGGCACTAATGTACTTCCACTATTGATTACACTTGCCTACCCTGGACCAGGATTGAATTATGTTAATCAGGATGCAGGACCAGTGATGCACTGATCTGCTTGGAAGTCTTTGGGGGAATTGTCATTGGGTACTGCAAACCAGAATTAAGAATATAAGGACAGCCAGATTGTGTCATAGTAATGGTTCATCTGGCCTGGGAGTATAGCTTTTGATAATAGTTGGAGCCAGATGCTTCAGAGAGAATGACAGTGGGTACATCTAGTTGTCCTGTTCTAACTTCTTCATAATCAGAGGTTTAGGGACACCCAGAGATGGAGTGGCATCCATAACCATGTTGACAAATAGTCATTGATGGACTTATCCTCCGTGAACTTATCTAGTTCTTTTTGAAGCCATTCATACTCCTGGGTTTCACGCCGCCCTAGGCAAGGAGCTCTACAAGTGGACTGTGCATTGTGTGAAATGCTACTTTTTATTGGTTTTGATCGTGCTTCCTATCAATTTCATAGGATGACTCCTGATTCCCGCGTTTTAGGAAAGGCTAAGTAACACTTCCTTATTCAATTTTTCCAAATAATTCATTATCGTATAGACCTCTATCATATCCCTCCCTCTCATTCATATCTTCTTCACTGAACACTCTGCAGCAATGTTTCTTTCCTTCAATTTTTCCATCCATATGGGGAATAACATTTCTGTGCACCAAAGCATGCACAGATGTACACCACCAGTAGAAACATATGCTGCCAGCTGGGTGGCATTTAAATACCTCTTGGGTGGCTGCTCAAGTACTCTGTTTAGATTAAGGAACACTAGTCCAAAGTCTATAGTATCTCCTCATATGGAAGTTGTTTCCCCCATCATTTTTGTTGACCTTCTCTGTACTTTTTCCAGTTCTACTATAATTTTTTATAAGATGTGGCGACCAAAATTGAATGGGGTATTCCAGGTGTGGACATATCACTGATTTACATAGGGGATTATGTTTTCAGTCTTCTTATTTATCTCTTTCAATGGTTCCCATCATTTTTAGCATGTTTGATGGCCACTGCACATTGAGCGGATGGCTTCAGAAAACTACCTACAATGATGCCAAGAGATCTCTCTTTAGTGGGCAACAGGTAATTTAGAACCCATCATTGTGTCTGTATAGATGGGATGTTTTCCAATATGCATTATTGTTCCGTTATGAATACTGAATTTCATGCATCATTTTCTTGCCCTGTCTCAGTTTTGAGGTCTCTACCTTTTCACCATCAACTATGAACTTCACTTAGAGTAATTTTGCACTGTCTCCAAACTTTGCCCCCCTCACTGTATATCACTTTTTTCCAGATCATTTGTGAAGAGGTTGAAAAGCAGTGGTCCTAGTAAAATTCTTGGAGAACCCCACAATTTAAGTCTCTCTTCGGTGGAAGCTGAACGTTTATTCCGACCCTTTGTTTCCGGCCTTTTAATCAGTTACTGATCCATGCAAAGATCTTCTTTCTTATCACAAGTGCTTAGTTTCCTTAAGGGTCTTTAGTATGGATTCTTTGCATTTGGAAAGTCCAAGAACTCCTATGCATTGACTGCTCTTGTCCAGATGTCTGATACCCTAAAAAATGTTAACGGATTGATGAGGCATGATATCCCTTTACAAAAGCCATGTTAAACATGGTATATTAAAGAAGAGTTGTTTGTGTGTTTGATAGTTCTGTTCTTCGCCAAAGCTGGGCCTACTAGCCTGTAAATGTCAGGATGGTCTCTGGAGCTTTTTAAAAACTGGCATATTAGGTGTTCTCCAGTCATCTGGAACAGAGACTGATTTAGGGGGTAGATTAGTTTGCAACCTTAAAAATCAAGGTGGAAGGTGGTGTTACTTTTGTGCCACCAGAATACCATGGAAGTATGCTAACTTCGATGTGATTGGTTCTAAGAAAAGAGGAACTCAAGATCACATCAGGCTATGACAACCTGACACTAAGTAGTCAAAATAAGCCCACAGGCAGTGTGACATACTAACTAGAGATATCACATGAATCCCTAAACTGCACTCTACTTCAAAGAACACTCAAGGTGAAGAGTCGCTCCTTTTATTTTTGTGAAGCAATATTTTTCCTCATGTTACTGGATGTGAATGGCCCCCATTAACATTTTCTTACACACATCTTAGTAATATGTTAAATTGAAAGCACACACACATAAACCAGATATAAAGGCAAAACTAATGATTTTCCATCCCAAATTCTAAGTAAATCTTATCATATTACTGTGTGTCACTCTTACTTAAGGTGCTGGCATAAACTACTCTCCTAAAAAGGGGAACTGAGTATTACTGACCATTATTAAAGGAAGAAAGATTAGAAGAGAGAGAGAGATCCGACTGTATAAACCTCAGAGACTCAAACATTAAGGTAAAAAAGGACCATCGTGATCATCTAATCTGACCTCCTGCACATTGCAGATCACAGAACCTCACTTTCATGGTAAAACCCTAACTTCTGGTAGAACTACTCAAGTCCTCAGATCATGGTTTAAAAGCTTCAAATTACAGCTAATTCACCATTTACACTAGTTTAAATCTGAAAGTGACCCAGACCCCATGCTGCAAAAGGTGACAAAACTCACTCTTCTTCTAGCTATCATCTTTGGAAAATCATGGGAGACAGGAGAGATTCCAGAAGACTGGAAAAGGGCAAATATACTGTCCATTTATAAAAAGGGAAATAAGACCAAACCAGAAAACTACAGACCAGTTAGTTTAACTTCTGTGCCAGAGAAGATAATGGAGCAAGTAATTAAGGAAATCATCTGTAAACACTTGGAAGGTGGCAAGGTGATAGGGAACAGCCAGCATGGATTTGTAAAGAACAAATCATGTCAAACCAATCGGATAGCTTTCTTTGATAGGATAAGTCTTGTGAATAAGGGAGAAGCAGTGGTTGTGGAATACCTAAGACTTTAGTAAGGCATTTGATACTGTCTCACATGATATTCTTATCAATAAACTAGGCAAATACAACTTAGATGGGGCTACTATAAGGTGGGTGCATAACTGGTTGGATAACCGTACTCAGAGAGTAGTTAGTAATGGTTCACAATCCTGCTGGAAAGGTATAACAAGTGGGGTTCCGCAGGGGTCTGTTTTGGGACCGGCTCTGTTCAATATCTTAATCAATGATTTAGATATTGGCATAGATAGTACGCTTATTAAGTTTGCAGATGATACCAAGCTGGGAGGTGTTGCAACTGCTCTGGAGGATAGGGTCATAATTCAAAATGATCTGGACAAATTGGAGAAATGGTCTGAGGTAAACAGGATGAAATTTAATAAAGACAAATGCAAAGGGCTCCACTTAGGAAGGAACAATCAGTTTCACACATACAAAATGGGAAGCGACTGTCTAGGAAGGAGCACGGCAGAAAGGGATCTAGGGGTTATAGTGGACCACAAGCTGAATATGAGTCAGCAGTGTGATGCTGTTGCAAAAAAAGCAAACATGATTCTGGGATGCATTAACAGGTGTGTTGTGAGCAAGACACAAGAAGTCATTCTTCTGCTCTACTCTGCGCTAGTTAGGCCTCAGTTGGAGTATTGTGTCCAGTTCTGGGCACCGCATTTCAAGGAGGATGTGGAGAAATTGGAGAGGATCCAGAGAAGAGCAACAAGAATGATTAAAGATCTAAAGAACATGACCTGTGATGGAAGGCTGAAAGAATTGGGTTTGTTTAGTTTAGAAAAGAGAACATTGAAGGAGGACATGATAGCAATGGGCTTAAAATGCAGCAAGGGAGGTTTAGGTTGGAAATTGGGAAAAAGTTCCTAACTGTCAGGGTAGTCAAACACTGGAATAAGTTGCCCAGGGAGGTTGTGGAATCTCCATCTCTGGAGATATTTAAGAGTAGGTTAAATAAATGTCCATCAGGGATGGCTTAGACAGTATTTGGTCCTGCCATGAGGGCAGGGGACTGGACTCAGTGACTTCTCGAGGTCCCTTCCAGTACTTGTATTCTAGGATTCCCCTTCACCCCCCCTCCC